GTGGCGGGCGTCTGTGGTCCAAGCTACTTGGGAGGCTGAGGCGAAAGAATCCCTTGAACCCAGGAGGTGGAGGCTGCCGTGAGCCGAGATTGCACCACTGCACTCCAGCCTAGTGACAGAGCAAGACTCCGTCTAAAAAAATAATAATAATTAGCCTGGTGTATATTAGCTTCACAAAAAGTCGGCTGAAAACCTCCAAGTTGCCCCCTCCCTAGGTCACATGTACAGCAAAGGACGCAAAAGCTGGCCAGGCACGGAGGCTCACGCCAGCGACCCCAGCACCTTGGGAGGCCGAGGCGGGTGGATCCCTTGAGGCCAGGAGTTTGAGACCACCCTGGCCAACATGGAGAAACCCCATCTCAACTAAAAATATAAAAATTAGCTGGGGATGGTGGCACACACCTGTAATCCCAGCACTTTGGAAGGCCAAAGTGGGCAGATCACTTGAGGCCAGGAGTTTGTGACCAGCTTGGCCAACACAGCAAAACCCCATCTCTACTAAAAAAAAAAAAAAAATTAGCCAGGTGTGGTGGTCCACCTACAATCCCAGCGACTTGGGAGGCTGAGGCATGAGAATCACTTGAACCCGAAGGCGGAGGTTGTAGTGAGCTGAGATTGCTTCACGCACTCCTGCCTAGGTGACAGAGGGAGACTATGTCTCAGAAACCAATAAATACATAAGAATCAAAGAAAAAAAAAGCAACAGCTGGAGGCTGGATTCGTCCTGGGTGAATTACCCATCTCATTACTATGCAAGGTCCATTTAAAACCCAAGTTTCTGGCTAGGCACATGGCTGACACCTGTAATCCCGGCACCTTGGGAGGCCAAGGCAGGAGGATCACTTGAGGCCAGGAGTTGAGACCAGCCTGAGCAACACAGCAAGACTTCATCTACACAAAAAATTAAAATAATTAGCCAGGCGTGGTGGTGCACACCCGATGTTCCAGTGACTTTGGAGGCTGAGGCAGGAGGATCATTTGCGCCCAGGAAGTCCAAGCTGCACTGAACTGTGACTGAGCCACTGCACGCCAGCCTGCGTGATAGAGCAAGACCTTGTCTCAAGAAAAAATAAATGTTTTAATTTAAAAAAAAATTTAGAACACTCATATTTCTACACTGAAATAAATTCTTACCAAGCTGCAAAGTCCATTTTGGGGTTAAAAAAAAAAAAAAGGCAGCCAAAAACAAACTCATTCAGTGCTGCGCAGACCAACAATCAAACCTGCCTGTTTTGATGAATCTTTCTCTTATCACTCAGATGCCGTGGAGACAGTCGGTCTCAGACGAGCGGACGTTTTAATTCAGAGAAAGGCGCAGAGAGAAGGTTCTGGAAGGTCCTTCACACCGCTAATCTCAGAGTACAAATTATCTTCTAGAGTTTGTTTTATTATCTTTTTTTTTTTTTTTTGCAAAGACTGGGGGTGGGAGAGAATGAAATACCCAAGTAGAAGGAGGGAAGATAGCTGATTCCAAGAAACGAGAGTGGGACCACAGGTGACCCTGAGGCGGGAGAAAGCCCCGGACAAGAGGAGGCGGCATTTATTCATTTATTTTTTAAAGCAACGTAGGAGGAGGGTAAGTTACCTGCCGGGTTTGAGAGCTACGGGAGAATGCCCCAGGCAAACCAAAGAGAGAAATGCGTAGCTATAAAACCAAAGAGATGCCGGGTGCGGTGGCTCATGCCTGTAATCCCAGCACTTTTGGAGCCTGAGGCAGGTGGATCACAAGGTCACGAGTTCGAGACCAGCCTGGCCTGCATGGTGAAACCCCGTCTCTACTAAAAATATAAAAATGAGCCAGGCATGGTGGAGGGTGCCTGTAATCCCAGCTCCTCGGGAGGCTGAGGCAGGAGAATCACTTGAATCCGGGAGCAGAGGTTGCCATGAGCCGAGACCACGCCATTATACTCCAGCCTGGGCAACAGCATGAGACTCTGTCTCAAAAGTAAATAAATAAATAAAACAAAGAGATCAGTAGGAGGAGACTCGCGTGCCCGTGTTACATGAAAAAACTTTGAGAAGGATGGACATGTGATCTCAGGTCTGAACTGTGCACCAAGAGACAGGGAAGAAAAAAGAAGGGGCCGGGCGTGGTAGCTCACGCCTGTCATCCCAAGACTTTGGGAGGCCAAGGTAGGCAGATCGCTTAAGGTCGGGAGTTTGAGACCAGCCTGCCCAACATGGTGAAACCGCATCTCTACTAAACATACAAAAATCAGCCAGGCGTTGGGACGCTTGCCTGCACTCCCAGCTACTCAGGAGGCTGAGGCAGAAGAATCGCTTGAACCCAGGAGGTGGAGGTTGCCGTGAGCTGAGATTCCACCACAATCACTGATGTCTCCAAACTGAGCCTGTGGCTCAACCAGCCTCCAGCCCAACAGACACCACTTTCCAGGAATCCTCTGGCCCGGGCGGGAGGCAGGAGGTCCGACTCTCATCCCAACATGGTGGTGAGGGCACCAAGTGACTCATTTCACTTTGGGGTGACCAGTTGTCCTGGCTTGCTCAAGGCTATTCTAGCTGTGTTCTGTCGTTGTTGATGTTGTTTTTAGGACAGAGTCTCACTCTGTGGCCCGGGCTGGAGTGCAGTGGCATAATCTGGGCTCTCTGCAACCTCCACCTCCCGGGTTCAAGACAGTCTCCTGCCTCAGCCTCCTGAGCAGCTGAGGTTACAGGCACCTGCCACCACATCCAGCTAAAAAAAAAAAAAAAAAAACTTTTTTCAAGACAGAGTCTCACTCTGTCGCCCAGGCTGGAGAGCAATGGCGGTGGTCTCAGCTCACTGCAACCTCCACCTCCCTGGTTTGAGTGATTCTCCTGCCTCAGCCTCCCGAGGAGCTGGGACTACAGGCACACGCCACCACACCTGGCTGATTTTTGTATTTTTAGTAGAGACGGGGTTTCACTATGTTGGCCAGGCTGGTCTCGAACTCCTGACCTCGTGATCCACCCGCCTCATCCTCCCAAAGTGCTGGGATTACAGGCGTGAGCCACCTAGCCAGGCAGCTATTCCAGCTTTAACCTGGAATCTGGGACATTCAGCCAACCCACCCACTTCCATCTTCATCTGTCAGGAACCACCTGGAGCCGTGTGGGGCCACCCCGGAGGGACTAGGCAAGGACTGTGCGAGCAGAGGCATGAGCTACTGTGAATGAGGCAGGAGCAACGTCTGTTTCCAGACTCCAGATGAGGCCGGCCGGGGAGAGTCCTGGCTCAGGGCCAGCGTGTCCTTAATGCCACTCTGAGAACTGCCAGTGTCTGTTTTCAAACAGGAGTGAGCTATCGGCTCAGAGCCTTCGCAGAGGACAGCCGGGGCCAGGGAGCAGGGCGACAGGAGGGAGGCATTGACCTTGGGAGAAAAATTAAAGCAAGCTCCAAAAACCTTGGTCATCAAGATATCACGCATTTTTTTTCTTTAAGAGATAGAATAAGGCTCCATCACCCAGGCTGGAGTGCAGTGGCGCGATCCCAGCTCACTGCAGCCTTTAACTCCTGGGCTCAGCCTCCTGAATAGATGGGACTACAAGTGCATCCCACCACGCCACGTTAATTTTTTTTTTTTTTTTAAATTTTTGTAGAAATGGGGTCTTGCTGTTTTCCAGTCTGGGCAATATATGTATTTTTTGAGACAAAGTCTCTCTGTCCCCAAGCTGGAGTGCGGTGGCACGATCTTGGCTCACTGCAACCTCTGCCTCCTGGGTTCATGTGATTCTTCTGCCTCAGTTTCCCAGGTAGCTGGGATTACAGGCGTCTGCCACCACACCCAGCTAATTTTTGAATATTTTGTAGAGATGGGGTTTTGCCACGTTGGTCTTGAACTCCTGACCTCAACTGATCTGCCAGCCTGAACCTCCCAGAGTGCTGGGATTATAGGCATGAACCTAGGCTTGGCCATCCCCGGTGGAGTTTCTGATGAGATCACAACCCAGGCAACACTCTATGATCGCAGCCTTGTCAAACCCAGAGCAGAGGATCCAGCCACACCATTCCCAGACCCCAACCCACAGAAACCACATAAAACCGTGAAACAGCAGGAGCTGTTTCCAGTTGCTGCATTTGTGGTAATTTGCAGAAAACGAGGCAAAGTGCAGTGGTTCAGGTCTGTAATCCCCGCAGGTTGGTAGGCTGAGGCAAGAGGATTGCTTGAGCCCAGGAGTTTGAGAAAAGTGATGAAAACTTTTTTTTTTAGAAACCTGGGTTGGGCAGGGCACGTTGGCTCACGCCTGTAATTCCAGAACTTTGGGAGGCCAAGGCGGGTGGGTCACCTGAGCTTAGGGGTTCAAGACCAGCCTGGCCAACATGGAGAAACCCCATCTCTACTAAAACCACGAAAATTAGCCGGGCGTGGTGGCGGGCGCCTGTCATCCCAGCTACTCGGGAGGCTGAGGCAGGAGAATTGCTTGAACCTATGAGGTGGAGGTTGCAGTGAGCTGAGATCGTGCCACTGCACTCCAGCCTGGGTGACAGAGCAAGACTCCGTCTCAAGAAAAATAACAGAAAGCAAAAAACGCCCAGGTTTACCCTTGATGCCCTGGCCCACCCCCACCCAGTCCATCCAAAAACACTGTCAGACTGTCTGCAGGACAGACCTAGAACTGGGCCCCTAAACCATGTCTAGTCTGGTCGAAGCAGTGTGTCACCGAGGCAGACGAAATGGCACTTCCATCCTCCACTCGCTGCGTCTATTCTCAACAGGGAGCCTCAGGGAGACAGCTGAGACCCACATCAGATGGCATCCCGCCTCTGCGCAAACCTCCCCCCGCCCCGTGATGCAGTCTAACTGTCCGCATCTCCAACCCCTCCCTCCTCAGCCCCAGCTGCACGGGCCTCCTCGCTGATCCCCAAAGGCACAAAGCACGGAGCAGCCTCAGGGCCTTTGCACGGGCTGTGTCTCCTGCCCGACATCCCCAGCTCTAGCCTCCTGCCAGCCATCCTACTATACCCTTCCCATTCTCTGCTTTATTTTTATTTTTTGTCTGTCAAGTTTTGCAAGCCGCACCCATGGGAGTAGACGGTAGGAAGCTTCAGCCAGCACGCACAGCCTGGAGCTGCGTAATTCCCATTCATCTTCCCTTGAGCACTGGAAAAGGGAGCCAGGAAAAAACAGCCACCATGTTTCTCTCCATTCTGCAGCCTAATGTTTACTGAAAGAGCATGCTGTTTCCCCTGCACCTCCGGCCCTACAAACCCAGAGGAGCTGTAACACTGGAAAACATGCCTTTCGTAAAAATAAGTGGGTAAGGCCGAGCGCAGTGGCTCACGCCTGTAATCTCAGCACTTGCGGACACCGAGGCAGGTGGATCACTTGAGGTCAGCAGTTCCAGACCAGCCTGGTCAACATGGTGAAACCCCGTCTCTACTAAAAATATGAAAATTAGTCAGGTATGGTGGCATGCAGCTGTAATCCCAGCTACTTGGGAGGCTGAAGCAGGAAAATTGCTTGAACCTGAGAGGGAGGTTGCAGTGAGCCGAGATTGTGCCATTGCACTGCAGCCTGGGCAACAGGGTAAGACTCCATCTCGGGAAAAAAAAAAAAGTAAGTAGACAGGCATTTTCGGTGTGACAAGCATTGCATTAAATATTATTTATGCTCAACGTCTCATTTATTGCCACAGTTCTCCTGGGAAACTGGTTCTATTCTGACCAAAGATGAATTGGAGGCACAGAGAAGTTAGGTAGCTTGCCCAAGGTTATAGATGTGGTGGCTTTTATGTATGTCCAAAAATTATTTGCTCTCCTCACCTAGCAGAGCCTAATTTGCCTTCCTTTGAGTGTGCATTGGACTTACTGACTCGCTTGTAACGAATAGAATGTACCAGAAGCAACGGAGCAAGACTTCTGAGGTTAGGTCATAGAAGTACAATGGCTTTGTTCTTTCTCTCCCGTGAACCACCAGCCCCTGAGGAGCAAGCAGCCATGTTGTCAGGATGCTCAAGCAGCACCATGGAGATTCCCACATGGTGAGGAACTGAGGCCTCCCACCCACAGCCACACGAGGGCACCAGCCTGGGGGAGTGGCTCCTCCAGCCCCAGTTGAACTTTCAGATGAGGCAGCCCTGGCCAATGTCGTCACTGTAAACTTAACTACAACTGCAACCTCCTGGGCCAGGACCACCCAGATAAATCACTCCCAGATCCCTGGCCCACAGAAACTGTGATGTGATAAATGTTTGTTGCTTTAATTGGCTAAATTTGGGAGAGATTTGTTATGTAGTAATCAATAACTAATACATGGGACTTCAGGTCCCAGGACTTTTCTGTCTGGTGTTCTTTTTTATTTATTTATTTATTTATTTTTATTTATTTATTTATTTTTTTTTTTGGAAACGGGTTTCGCTCGTTTCCCCAGGCTGGAGTGCAATGGGGCGATCTCGGCTCACCGCAACCTCCGCCTCCTGGGTTCAGGCAATTCTCCTGCCTCAGCCTCCTGAGTAGCTGGGATTACAGGCATGCGCCACCATGCCCAGCTAATTTTTTGTAGTTTTAGTAGAGATGGGGTTTCACCGCGTTGACCAGGATGGTCTCGATCTCTTGACCTCGTGATCCACCTGCCTCGGCCTCCCAAAGTGCTGGGATTACAGGCGTGAGCCACCGCGCCTGGCCGGTTTTTTATTTATTTACTTTTTTTGTTTGTTTGTTTTCCGAGATAGGGATTCATTCCTCACCCCCGCCGGAGTGCAATGGTGTGATCACAGCTCACTGCAGCCTCCCACTCCTGGGCTGAAGCGATCCTCCCACCTCAGCCTCCTGAGCAGCTAAGGCTACAGTTGCACACCACCATGCCTGGTTAATTTTTTAGTTTTTGTACAGATGGGGGTCTTGCTCTCTTGCCCAGCTGGCCTCAACCTCCTGTGCTCAAGTGATCCTCCTGCCTCAGCCTCCCAATTAGCTGGGACGACAAGCCTGCACCATCACACCCCCAGCCTGGTCTCAACTCTTTGGCTGTCTTGCCCACCTGCCTGTGTAGTTTTTTTGTTTTTTCACCTAATCCAAGATGAGCACAGTTTTCAGACCCCTCCATCCCATTAGACTCCCCATCTTTGGTCCCACGGCAGCCAAAGCCCGTTTATGGAACAGGCAGCTGTTGTCTGTGCCGTGGCCTCTCCTATTTCTTCCCGTCCCCTGTCCTCAGGCCCGAATCTAGCTGGAAAAACCTCCCCTCCTCCATCGCCCCAACATCATGAAATAAATCACTCAGCAAGCCTACAGGAAATTTAATAAGCTTGGTCTCTCTCTTTTTTTGCATCTTGTCTATGGTCTTTTTGTTAGGTTTTCATGGGAAGAGGTGTTTGTGAGAAAACTATTTGCAGCAATGGTATCCTGTGTTCTTTTAGCTTTATAATGTCCACAGAGGAGAGAAAGGAGCCAGTGATGTGTGGGAGGGAAGAGGCGGACCGAAAGGAGTGATACCAAGGAAAAGAGAGAAAAAGGCAGAGATTAAAAAGTAACCTCTCAGTCACTTACGAGTTCTATCATTTTAAATTAACACAGCTCCTAAACGCAATGGGGAATCCCGGATGGGAGCGCAGAACAGAAATATTGGTGGAAAACTGAGCGGGGCCCCCTCGTTGATAATGCCTTAGCTCTGCTCTTTGTTCTGTGGCTAAAGATGTCAACGCAAAGGGAACGCCGGGTGGAGGGCGTGTGTGCAGGGACTCCGGCACCATCTTCGCAACTAAAATTATCCGAACTTTTTTAATTAATAAAGGTAACGTGTAAACAAAACGACAAAGGACTGGGTGCCGTGGCTGCCGCCGGTAATCTCAGCATTTCAAGGTGAGAGGATTACCTGAACCCAGGAATTCAAAACCAGCCTGGGCAACACAGTGAGACCCCATCTCTGCAAAACAACAACACAGGAAGCCTTACACAGTTATCAGTGGGTCACCCAGAGTGTGTCGTCCTCTGCATGCGTTTCAGAGCCACACACAGAAACCTCAATGGCTTAGAGCTGTCTGCAGAGCTGTGTCACATCAACTTCAATCAAACTCAAATGTTCGCCGGGCACGGCGGCTCACGCCTGTAATCCAAGCACTTTGGGAGGCTGAGGTGGGAGGATCACCTGAAGCTAGGAGTTCGAGACCAGCCTGACCAACATGGTGAAACCCCGTCTCTACTAAAAATACAAAAGTTAGCCGGGTGTGGTGGTGTGCACCTGTAATCCCATCTAGTCAGGAGGCTGAGGTGGGAAAATCATTGGAACCCGGGAGGCGGAGGTTGCAGTGAGCCAAGATCATGCCACTGCACTCCAGCCTGAACGACAGCGTGAGACTCCATCTCAAAAAAAAAAAAAAAAAGAAAGAAAAAAACCACAAAAGTTCACCTCAGCTTCATTCTTGGGCTTCTAAGTTTCTCTTTCTCCATCTTTCTTTTATTATTATTTGAGACAGGGTCTCACTCTGTCACCCAGGCTGGAGTGCACTGGTGCGATCACAGCTCACTGCAGCCTCCGACTCCCAGGCTCAAGCGATCCTCCCATCTCAGCCTCCTGAGTAGCTGGAACTATGGGACTACTGGCAGCATGGATGAGGTGTATTTACACCAACAGCCCCTATTTGTGCAAGGCTCACAGGCTTACGTGAGCCGATCCAGCCCTGCCAATAATCCCAGGAAATGCAGGAGACAGGTCCAGGTAATATCGGCATGCCCATTTACAGAGGAGGAGACTGAGGCTCTCTTTGCCCCCCCCCAGACACATACACACACACACACACACACACACACACACACACACACACACACACACGCATAGATTTCTTGGAATTCCAGTGACCCCCACGTTGCTGGGTGGCTTCCCTGTTAAGCTCTCCGAGAATCCTGCTCCCCAGCTAAGCCAGGTGGTCTTCAGGGACAGAGGAGCGCAGGACCGAGAGCTCTAAACCCTGCCCTAGCATGGGTGCCCAGGGTCCACTCCTGCCTCCCCACACACCAACTCCAGCACCCACAGCTGCACGGGGGGGAACCACGCGACCTCACTCCCTCCCTCCCACCTGCTTGCCTGTCCCCCACCACCCAGCCTGGCTGCTGCTCCTACATCCAATGTTCACTCATCTGTCCACCATCTGAGCAACACCACCTTGGCCTTCATTCTGCCCTCACCAGCCATCCATCTGCGACGCCTCCACGTCACCGCAAAGGCTGTCACCAACCACAGTGACAACAGGATTTGACTCTGATGCTCCCCCGTTCCGAAAGCCCGCGCACCCGCAGACAGAGTCCCCAGCCTGAGCAACCGGCCACCAACACCTTCTGCCTATGCACTCTCCAAGCCCCGCATTTTACACGCTAAACGTTCCAAATTCTGCAAAGGGAACTTCGGGCCCCACGCGAATGCTCTTCAGGGACGGGACCGAAAGCACAGTGGGGCGCACGGTCCTCGGCGCACGGTCACGCGCTGCGCTCAGCGGGGCGCACACGGACTCCCCTCCATGTGACGGGACAAGCAGGCTCCATGAGGTGGGGTCTTCAGGACCCAGTTACCCAAGGGTCAGGGCAGCCTGAGCGCTGGAACCCTCACCCCCATGACCCAGACAAGAAGACTAGGAAGAAGGAGTTTGCACACACAACGACACAACAGCACAACCACACACAACCTCACACAACCACACACCTCACACAACCTCACACAACCACAATCTCACACAACCTCACGCAACCACACACAGCCTCACACAACCTCACACAACCACACACAACCTCACACAACCACACACCTCACACAAACCACACACCACACATACCTCACACAACCACACACAACCTCACACAACCTCACACCACACATACACAACCTCACACAACCACACAACCTCACACAATCTCACACCACACCTCACACAACTTCACACAACCTCACACAACCACACACAACCTCACACAACCACACACAACCACACACAACCATACACCACACATACCTCACACAACCACAACCTCACACAACCCTCACAGTCCTCACAAAACCATACGCCTCACACAACCACACACAAGCTCACACCTCACA